CATAGGCCAGTTCTCTTTCAGTGGGAATGTACTTGGATGGAAAGAAATTATTTAGTCGATATATTTGGGGACAAGGATCGTATAAGGCATTTGTTTTTAGTTTACTTCCTGTGTTTCCTTCTTGGTTAAAAAGAATGGTATCGGGCTGGGCGTGGTGGCTCAAGCCTGTAATCCCAGCACTTTGGGAGGCCGAGGCGGGTGGATCACAAGGTCAAGAGATCGAGACCATCCTGGTCAACATGGTGAAACCCCGTGTCTACTAAAAATACAAAAAATTAGCTGGGCATGGTGGCGCGTGCCTGTAATCCCAGCTACTCGGGAGGCTGAGGCAGGAGAATTGCCTGGACCCAGGAGGCAGAGGTTGCGGTGAGCCGAGATTGCGCCATTGCACTCCAGCCTGGGTAACAAGAGCGAAACTCCGCCTCAAAAAAAAAAAAAAAAAGAATGGTATCAGTATTGGTCTGGGGAGTTAACCAAAATCTAAAGCAACATCTCATCTCTTTGTTTCTAACAAAACTTTAAAGTTATTTTAATGATAGTGAAAACTGATGACATCTGTCACCTAGATAATCTCCATTCATTTCATGTAAAAGACTTTGCCTTTAAGAAAAAAGGCCCCTCCCCCAATAAAAAAGAAATTTAGAGCCAATCTATCTCTTCTTTAGTAAATGTTTAGAAGGAACTGCTATGTAAATTATGCTCATAAACTTTTATGTAAAGGGTGACATGTTACATACTAAACTCTTTAGATGGAAAAAGGAAAGTGAAGATGGAAGTAAGAGAAAGAAAAGAATCTCATCTAGGCTTGGGCAGGAATGGGAAGTTAGGAAGACACAGCAGGCTATGAGTGCGAGGGGGCGGCTCTTGCTCAGGTGCTTGTAGGATTTGGGATTCCCGGTGAGTCCGTCTGTGATCTTGTGAACTGGCAGTTTCAGCAAACAAACCTGTACCACTCCCTTGTTATTATTCTGTGAAATCATACAAGACAAAGCATTACTAATTGATTAATTCAACCGATGGTCGTCTCTGTTTGGGATCCTCACGATTACCCCTAAATTCGGTGGTTTGCCGGAAGTACTCACAGGACTGGACATGTAGTTGTACTCAAGGCTACACTTGATTAGAGCTGAAGGATACAAAGCACAGTCTGCAAATCCAGAACTGGCACAGGCTTCCGAGGACACCTTAATTCCTCCAGCAGTGGGTGAAATCCAGGAGAGACCTGGCACAGGCTTCCGAGGACACCTTAATTCCTCCAGCAGTGGGTGAAATCCAGGAGAGACCTGGCACAGGCTTCCGAGGACACCTTAATTCCTCCAGCAGTGGGTGAAATCCAGAAGAGACCTGGCACAGGCTTCCCAGGACACCTTAATTCTTCCAGCAGTGGGTGAAATCCAGGAGAGACCTGGCACAGGCTTCCGAGGACACCTTAATTCCTCCAGCAGTGGGTGAAATCCAGAAGAGACCTGGCACAGGCTTCCCAGGACACCTTAATTCTTCCAGCAGTGGGTGAAATCCAGGAGAGACCTGGCACAGGCTTCCCAGGACACCTTAATTCCTCCAGCAGTGGGTGAAATCCAGGAGAGACCTGGCACAGGCTTCCCAGGACACCTTAATTCCTCCAGCAGTGGGTGAAATCCAGGAGAGACCTGGCACAGGCTTCCCAGGACACCTTAATTCCTCCAGCCTTGACTTTTGACAATGTGTGTCTAGTGTTGTCTACCAGGGAAGCATATTATAGACTCAATACCCAGTCTTTTTACTGGGGGTTGGTCATATAGGACCCTATGCCTGGCATGTTCTAAACTTTCAGACTCCGGAAGGAATGCAGGTGTTCAGCATGAACCCATATTGTTTGTACAAACAGTCTAGGCACAGTGGCCTGGCCTTCAGTTAACTGTTGACTGGGGAGCACCCCCAGAGCCAAAGTCCTTGATGCCAGCCAAGGGCTGACCTTGCAAGCAGCCTTTCTAAGGAGAGCACTGTGAGGTCTGCTGCATTAATCCTTTTTCCACCCAGAGCCAGCACCGTGCTATGTGGAGAATGAGACAGGTCATGGAGTTTATAGTCTAGTTGAAGATGCTGACGTCTAATTAAAGTTCCTACTAATAAGTAGGAGATTTCAGCTTGTGACGCATGTCTTGAAGTGTAAGAGCAGGGTACAGTGAGATCATAGTGCAGCAGTGTAGTGAGAGGAGAGCGTGTGGTTGCTGAGGGTGGCTCCAGTGAACCTGCCTTGCAGTTGGCTAAATGTCTCACTCAGCCGCAAGAGTAGAGGGCATTGAGGGCAGATAGCAACAAAGATCGTGAATGAGGAGGGGAAAAGAAGCTCTTGGCGTGCTGGAGGAATGAAATGGGGAAGAATGGGGCTAAGAGGCGTCATTGCACTGACCTTTCCCTTTTTATCCTACAATTGTACTGGTATTTCCCTTTCCATCTTTCCATCCTACAATTGCACTGGTCTTTCCCTTTCCATCCTACAATTGCACTGGTCTTTCCCTTTCCATCCTACAATTGCACTGGTCTTTCCCTTTCCATCCTACAATTGCACTGGTCTTTCCCTTTCCATTCTACAATTGCACTGGTCTTTCCCTTTCCATCCTACAATTAGACTGATTTTCAGCACTAGTTTGGGACTCCAGGGGGCTTGTGCTGCAAAGATCTCTTTCCACCTGTTTATCAAAGCCTGAGATTGGCAGTCAGATTTTTAGATTTATAATTTGAAGTAAATGTGTAAAATGTAATTCCAAATTGGAGGTAGCCCTGACCAATAACACTCCTGTTAAAATGTAATAAGCTGAGACAGGAGGAAGTGTGAAGAAACACAAGGCAGTTTGGCCTTAAGAGCTGACATCTTGCACTTCTTTTTTCCCTCCAACCTTAATTTTTGCTTCTGTGGCCAGCAAAAAACTACAACATATTTAACTTCTTTGTGCTTCTTTTTTGTGTTATATAATTCATTTGTTCAGTAAATGTTTTGAACGTTGATTTACTGTGTGTCACATACTTTATTCTCTGAGGCTTAACTGGGCTAGTATGTGTAGCGTGTGTAACATAGTATCTTATATCCAGAGAGCATTCAAGGTAGGCCAGCTGTTATTCACAAATGCTATTAGCTGTTTTATCTTTTTGGTAGGGAAGGCGGTGAAGCTGTTGGAGTGTAGATGCAAGAGAGGGAAATACAGAGAACGAGGTGTCGAAAGTTGAAGGTTGGGATTCTGAAAGCAAACTTACATGATTTTAAAGTCATTCATCTGCTGATCTTCATTTGCTTTTGGACAAATTAAGGGAAAGTTTTACATAGATGCATATGCATACAACCTAGAACAATTGTGTGCAGGTTGGGAGAACACACACAAGTTACCAAGAGCATTGCCATCGAGCAGTATGGCAGTACCGCCCTGCTTATGTGATACAAGATACTTTTGTTTTAACTTGACAGATTCTGTTAAGGTGCTAAAGTTATTTATACAAAAATATATATTAAGAAAATTTACTACTTGCAGTATATGTTTGGAATTATCTTTTGAAATTGGTAAGAATTTTTAGTGTAAATGCATATACATACTTATCTCTTGGTGCTTGGAAAATATGAAGCCATGCCACGCTGTGGGAGGTCTGTGAAGTTCCTGGATTTTCCTTTCACTAAACATTTCGGTTGTGGGACGATGTCCTCTCTGCTCATGAAGCCCGTTGGTGTCACAGAAGCCTTGTTTCCTCAGGATTCTGCCTGAAGTTCAGTTGTTATCTGACTTCCTCAATGATTAATTCTAGTTTTGCCCCCTGGGTTTATAGATGGAAAAAAACAAGAAATGAATAAACCAAAAATATCATACCTGTTTTACTTAGTAACATTCAGATTAAACAGCAATGACCATCAAGAATCTTGTGTTCTTCAAACTAAACATTTGTACTCATTCACCCACTCATGTGACGTGCACTTCAGCCCCCTCATAGTTCAAGCTGTTCCTTGATAACTGAACTGTTATAGTTCAGTAATTAATAGCATGAAAGGGTGGTATTTTACCCCAAATTATCTTACAGCAACACTGACACTTTAAGAAGCTGAAAGTGTTTTACTTATTGTTCGTTTCTCTACTAAACACAGAAGAAATTACAAAATTGAGATTATATGATAAAGGATTATTGGCTATGTATTCCTTCGAATATTTTTTTAAAATAAGGTTTTTTTCTAACCTATCTGAGTTTAGTTACTTGACATACTGGAAATTTAATTTATTTTCCCTTTTCTGTGATAGGGGAAGGATAGAGGGCTTGATAAGATATTTAATGGGGGAGGAAAGAATTCTTTTAGAACAAGAAGATGTGTTTTAGCGTATGTAAAAGCACTGTGATATGGAATTGTAGGAACCAGAAGTCAGGTTTCCTGGGGCAGAGGTATAATGGGAGAGGAGGAAGGGTATACTGGACACTTGCCATATGCTTCTGACTGGTTTTTAAAATTATTGCAGATACAAAATTTGGCTTTTCTCCACAATTAAGATGGTAGAATTAATACCGAAAGAAATGCTTTTTCCTAATTCTTACAGTAGAGCCTTTATTACCTATGATTACTAATTTAACATTATTTCTTAGAATGAGTAAACAGCAATTTTTAGATTTTGATTTGAAAGTAACTTTTAAAATAAATAATTTCTATGAATATTAAGGTGGTAAAACTTCAGAAATAATAAAGGCTTTAGCTTTTTATTAGGATAATGCTTTGTTTTAAAGACACGTTTGAGGATATATTAGAAATGAACCTACATTTGCATCTAGTTGGTGATATAATCACAGAGAGATGAATATTTCAAGTGACGTTAAAACAGTGTGTCCAGGCGCGGTGGTGGCTCACATCTGTAAGCCCACCACTTTGGGAGAACGAAGCAGGCAGATCATGAGGTCCAGAGATTGAGACCAGCATGGCTAACATGGCAAAACCCCGTCTCTACTAAAAATACAAAAAATTAGCCGGTCATGGTGACAGGTCCTGTAGTCCCAGCTACTTGAGAAGCTGAGGCAGGAGAATTGCTTGAACTCAGGAGGCGGAGGTTGCAGTGAGCCAAGATTGCACCACTGCACTCTAGCCTGGGCTGCAGAGTGAGACTCCATTTCAAAAAAAAAAAAGAAAAAGAAAAAGAAAAAACTGTAATAATGTGTATATTTGTAGTGGTATAGATCTTAAAGGATAAAGAAACTCACCTGATATATTTATTGTGTGATAGAACGATGAATGATGATATAATTTAGTTCCATTTTCCCGAAACTAAAATACTACTGTTTATTGAAAGGAACCAGAGATCCTGAGGAGAAATGTCTGAATCTACATCTGGGGCAGAAAGTGAACAAAAGGAACCTAAGATATCTCATCCTAGAAGACAGGATGGAAACTGTTGAGACGTATAGGTTCTTGTCAGAATGGCTGAACTCGCTTAAAGTGACTCTTCTGACTGGCTGCAAGATGGGACAGTGTGAGCACCAGTTAAGGATAATAGTTACAATGGAAGAAACAGAACAAATTTATTTATTCAAATATGTGATCTAGTAGTAATACTGTTATTTTTTAGTTGTTTACCCGTGGGAGAGTGTTACCGTATCCACTCATTATTTTGAACACTGGTGAACAAGGGGAACAAATGAAGCATTTCTCTTGTTTGGTCTGGATGAACTGTCCCACTGGGCAACCCCACAGTGGATGAAGTTAAGTTTCTTCTCACAGTATTTCAGCTAATACATGATGAAGGCAGGATAGAATGAGGAAAGTCACCATTGTCAAGCCCCACTGAATTAATCACTCAAGAGCCGCTGCTGCCGCTGACATCATAAAAAGGAGAGAGAGGGGAGGCCGAGGCGGGTGGATCACGAGGTCAAGAGATCGAGACCATCCTGGTCAACATGGTGAAACCCCGTCTCTACTAAAAATACGAAAAATTAGCTGGGCATGGTGGCGCGTGCCTGTAATCCCAGCTACTCGGGAGGCTGAGGCAGGAGAATTGCCTGAACCTAGGAGGTGGAGGTTGCGGTGAGCCGAGATCGCGCCATTACACTCCAGCCTGGGTAACAAGAGTGAACCTCCGTCTCCAAAAAAAAAAAAAAAAAAAAAAAGTAGAGAGAGCTAGATGATGTGAGCTTCTGACAGAAGTACGCAAAAGCACTGAGCAAATTGCCTCGACCTTCACATGGAATCTACTCTCTTCAGGCCTTGAGATCTAATGTCAGTTTGCAGGAAATGCAGAGAGGAGAAGATCATGCTGACCCCCATGACCCCCACAGGGATAAAGTCACAAAAATCCCGATCAAAGTCAACCACAGGACTAAAACCTAATTTATTCAAAAGTAAGTTAGAATGCGGGAAAGTAAGAGATGGAGGGGAATATTACAGGACCAAAGATACCTGAATATAATTTTAAAAATGAAATACCAAACTACTGCAACATGTTGAATTTACTTATGTCCTAGTTCAGACAAACAACCCTTAAAAAAATAAAATAAAAATAATAGAGATTTAGAGCTTGGGTATTTTTTGATAGAATTAAAAATAATAGGGCCAAGTGTGGTGAGTTATGCCTGTAATCCCATCACTTTGGGAGGCCGGGGCGGGTGGATCACGAGGTCAGGAGTTCAAGACCAGCTTGTCTAAGATGGTGAAACCCCACCTCTATTAAAAATACAAAAAAATAGCCAGGCGTTGTGACAGCCACCTGTAATCCCAGCTACTTGGAAGGCTGAGGCAGAGAATTGCTTGAACCCGGGAGGTGGAGGTTGCAGTGAGCCGAGATCATTTCACTGCACTACAGCCTGGACAACAGAGTAAGACTCTCTCAAAATAATAATAATAATAATTTATGTTTAGGCATGATAGTAGCATTTGTGCTTAGAATAGTTTTACCTTTTAGAGATACATGTTGAAATGTATGAATATATTAAAGTAATTTCTGGAATTTGCTTCAAAATTATATGAGGGGAGAATAGGGGGTAGAGATGGAGAATATTGACTGTGAATTCATAGTTGTTGAAGCTGGCTGTTGAGTACACAGGGCTGTTATATTTTTTGCGTGGTTTGATAAAAGTTTTAAATGTATATTTATACATATGTGTACATGTACAGAATCTTCATCTGAAAAAGAAAGTTGAATTTGTGGCTTGCAGAAAGCAAAAGCCAAAAGGGTAGCATAATAACATGTTACATTATCAGAAGCGCATAAGATTTCCATATAGACAGAAGAAAAGTAGCCTCAATACTACTATATTTTAAAAAAGATATAAAAAATGCATCCTTGTTGGTGTTATTTTGTTACTGATATTTTGCATTAGTATTTATGGAAACTCAAAGGTGCCAATCCTTTTCATTACTGCTCTATGGTTCAGTGTCAAAATGTTGAAGTAGAGCTATAGTTATGGCTTTTATGTATTTCTTTAAAAGAGATACTCAGCAAGAAAACGAAGTTATTTCTTATCCAGCCCTCAGGTTGCTGGCTGAATTGTTAACCACAGAAGCAATTATTTTTACTAAAATATTTATCAGTCTATTATACCGTTTGTTGTATGTCTTCAGGTCAATGTTAAATCTAACCACTGCATGTACCACTCTGCTTTTCAGTTTGGTTTTGTTTAGATTGTAAGTCTTCGTGACATTTTCAGTGGGCACTTGCAAATTGCATTGTGAAAATTAATGAAATTCATCGGCTTTTCCTAAGTTACCCATATCATTTAGTCTATCAATACCCGTGTGCTTCTCTTCTGTCGCTCATTACTTTTAACCAGCCCCTGCTCATTAGTACTCCTGCCAGATGTTGAAAAATGAAATAAAGATGAAAGTCAGTTTAATTAGTTTCATCTGTTTGCACTGCGACAAAATGTGACATAGATGAAAGGATGTAGTTTATTAGCAGAAATGATATATGTGAAAATACACTCATCCAAATATGCACAATTACCCTGGAATAGTTATCTGTATTAGTCTATGTGATTTACTGGTGGCAAATTTTAAATCATAGCCTATTCCAAGCATTTTCTGTTCTTATCCTAAATTTAGCTGTTTCTTCATGGAGTCTTGGTTCCTTTTATTGTGGACGACTGATATTAGAAACCAAGCTCTAGTGCCACATGTATGCAGTTGCACTGGGGCTTCTAGGCCCTCTCAGCTAACACAGCAACGTGAGACTTGTGTGTATTAACTAGATATACACATCTACCAGTATTCTTATATGTAACTATTTTTAATATTCCTACGTGTGACTATTTTTACTTGTATTGTCATACATGAGTTCACTGATATCTCCAACTCGAATTCATTACCACGTGGATCATTCTGAACTCTTCCTTGTTTCAAGCCTGGAACATCCCACTCTACCACTGAGAAATCTTGTTTCCACCATCTACCACGCATGTGCGTAACTGGCCACTGTTCACCTGCACCCTCCTGGGGTAACAACTTTGCCAACTAGAGTATGGTGCTTATGTACAGTTTATTTTGCATTTAAGACCCCACTTAGTTTCAAAGTTATGCACATTAGCACCTTGTCCTCTGCCACCCCCTTGAAGGAGGTTGTTTTATACATGTGTAGTACATTTAGATTCTTTTGTTGCATTATGCTTTGCATCCCGAGAGCCCCTGACCTTGTAAGTGATTTTTTAAAATTTACATACATGATAGTTTATTCATTGTGCTATAAAGTTCTACAGATATTTGGCAAATGCATAGTGTCATATATTCATCATTATAGTGTCTTACAGAATAGTTTCATCATCCTAAAAGGTCCCCTGTACTTTACACATTCATAGTTTGTCCTTTCCCCTTGCACTCTTGGCAGTCACTGATCTTTTACTGCCTCCACAGCTTATGCCTTTTCTCCAATGTTATATAGTTAGAATTACATAATATGTGTCCTTGTTAGACTGGCTTTTTTTCTCATAGTAACATACATTTAAGACTCATTCATGTTACTTCATGGCTTGTTAGCGCATATCTTTTTAGTGTGAAATATTTAGTTGTGTGGATGTATTACAGTTTGTTTATCCATTTGTGTATTGAAGGACATCTTGCTTCCAGATTTGGGTAATTATTAGTAAGGCTGCCAAAAACATTCAGATGCAGGTTTTTGTGTGGACACAAGTCTTCATATTTATTGGGTAAATGCTTACTAGTGTGATTTTTGGGTCATACAGAAAGACTATATTTAGCTTTGTAAGAAACTGCCAAACAGTCTTTCAAAGTCACTGTAGCATTTTGCATCCTTACCAGGATTAAATGAGAATTTTTGTTGCCTTGCATCCATGCCAACAATTGGTACTGTCAGTTTTTTAAAAAAATTTCAGCCATTCTAATAGGTGTGCAGTAGAATCTCATTTTTGTTTTAACTTTAGTTCCAGACTAACAAATGATCATCTTTTAAAATATTTATTGCCATATCTATATTTTCTTTCCTGAAGTGACTGTTCAAATCTTTGGGCTCATTTTTCAGTTGGGTTGATTATTTTCTTATTGTTGAGTTTAAAGAGTTTCTTGGTTTTGGATACATGTCTTTGATACGTAATTTGGCAAATATGACTTGCACAGTAATGTGTTGAGATGAAATGAGATGACTAGGAGGAATGAGTCAGTTATTACTTTATTTTTTAGCCTCAGTTTCTGAGAAAATGGAGAATAATAGTAACATAACAAGGAAAACCAAGAATTAAAATCTCTTTGGGAAGAAGTATGAAGGCGATAACTCATGTACTTTTGACTTAGGATGGTGCTTGAGGTGATGGGAAGACAGCTAGACTGGAAAATTTGTTAAGATACTTGATTTAGGTTTTGGTGTCATCATTATCGATGTTGAAGAGAAAGCAGAATTGAAGAGCAATTAGAAGGTTAGGACAAGAATTCTGTAGCTGTGTGTCATAAAAATGATAAGAGAAAATATTAAGAAGGAATCAAGTATTGAACATGGAGGACATAAAGTGAGTATGAAATTGGCTTTAGCTGTCTTCTCAAACATCAAGTATGCTATCAGTTTACTGTAGTATCCTACGCCTTTTGTTTCTAGGGACTATAATTTGCTGCCTCAGGAGAACACTTGCTTTATTGAGTCAATTATCTTTAGCATTTTGTAGAATTTCTTACACTGAATTTGACACCACTGGGGCTCTTCTGCATGGTGAATGTAGCCAGGGGTCTCATTTTCCTTTATCTTCTACAACTCTGTGTGAGTGTGTGTGTGTGTTTAAATTGACTAAGTACAAATTTCACTGAAAGAAGTCATTTTCCTTTTCAGTTATAGCATTCTGTTGCAGAATTCTAACAGTTGTGACTTCAGTTCCCTGCAGAATTAATTAACACATATGGATTCTCTGCTTGTCTGTTTGGGAAAACGTACAGCTTTCTTTCTGGAGTCACAGAGATGTGCTTCCTTCTTTTCTTTCTCAGAGTGCAGTTTTTCATTGCTTTTTTTTTTTTTAACCTAACAGTCTCTAAAAAGGGTAATTTATTCAAATAATTCATAGAAAAGATATAGCAATAAAAATAATTACCATCACTGAAGGATAATAATTCAACGCCTGTTTGTGTTTGGATTAGTGAAATGGCATACCAACACAAAGCACCAAACTGAAAACATATACTTTATATGTGAGGTATGAAAACACATGGAAGTACTTCGTTTGAAAATCTTATGTATATTCAGTACTTATCATTAGACTATGAAAAGCATTTCAGTGACGCTGACTACACACACACAATATTAGTGAGCAAATGTCAAGATTATTCGGAACTGAACATTAGTTTTGCTACAGGGTTTCATGCCTTTGAGGAAAAGCAGGGATTTGTGTTGTAAGGCAATGAAAGATGAGAATTTATTTATTAAACATTATTTTAGCACGTATAATGTTCTAGTGCTACATTTTCCTGTTTACTACTCTTGCTAGAGTTTCACCTGCTTTGACCACTAAATCTATGGTAACTATATACCAAAAATTAGGTACTCTGTAGGCCTTAATGTACAGCATTGGATCGTGGCATTGATTTGTATATAACTGGGAAGAAATACATAGAAAACAGCTATGTAGCATGATGTAATATCTGTAGTTTAAAGTTGCTAAACTTCTTTATTGTGGTCACACACACACACACACACACATGAAAAATTCTGTTTTAACCATTTTAAATGCTGTTTTGAGCATACAGTTCAATGGCATTAAGTATCTTCATAATGTTGGGCAATATTCGCCTGTCTGGTTCCGAAACTTTGCTGTGATTCCCAGTGGAAACTCTACCCATTAAGCAGTAACTTCCCCTTCCCACTCTTTCCAACCCTCTCTCCATTAGATTAGAGGTCATTGGGTCTTAGCATAACATGTTTTTATACTGTAACTTTCATCTATATGAAGATGTTGTATAGGTGAATTTTATTCTTTTCAATTCTTTTACAGGCTTGACCGATGAAAAAGTGAAGGCATATCTTTCTCTTCACCCCCAGGTATTAGATGAATTTGTATCTGAAAGTGTTAGTGCAGAGACAGTAGAGAAATGGCTGAAGAGGAAGAACAACAAATCAGAAGGTAAGATCTCATTTTAAACAAACTTTTTCTCTCTTACGGCAAAAGACCAAGCATTTAATGTATTCTAGAGAGCGAGATATAAAGTAGACAAAAATTAACATTTTAATTCTATCAGACTTACTCCGTTTCAAAAGGTAAAGTAAGTTAAAGAAGAAATAAATACAAAAGAAAGATTCTTATCTAATTAAAAACAAAAACAGCAAATCTTGAGAATTCAGTTGATTTAGTTATAGCCACATTGAAAAATGAAAAAGTCAGTATTATGCTTGATTTTATTTAAGGATTATTTTTAGAGATTAGAAAAACACTATAAAATAATTTAAAAATGTTATTACATTTCAAAGATAAACATTACATTTTACCAAAAGACGTCTTTTACAAAAATAAATCCTTTACAAAAAGAAGCCAATATAAAAACGATTTTTGTGTCGGGAAAGCGCCGTGGACCTGGCGTTTGCCTTCCATTCATTCTTAGACTGCAGATTTTACTGAAAGCTTTTGCTTTATCCAAATGCTCATGAAATGAGAAAATGAGTGGAGAACCACAGTTTTAACTGTTGAGATCCTGGCATTTGAAGCACATGATGGTTTACATTTTGTGCGAAGTAGCTTTCTACAGTAGCAGTCCTTGGTGTGTTGTTCTGTTAGACTCCAAAGCACATTTCTTTAATGCGGAGACTGCTTCAGAAGCGCTTATATTCAGAATAAAGGACTGGCGGCCAAAGGGGATGTAAAACCGAATACATTATTTCCCAAATTGAATGTATTTGATTTTTTGATTTGAATACTGTAGTTTAATTTTTATTTTCTTTCAAATGGATTTATATTTGGCTAAACTTGACTTATTTCTGTGAATATTGTTTTTATTGCGGCAATTTTATATGATTTTAACTGTGTACCTTTTTAACAAAATTGTACTTTAAGCTCTGGGATACACGTGCAGAACGTGCAGGTTTGTTGTATAACTTTTATATTAAAAACACAAAAAGATTATTTTGGGGGAAATTTTATTCATGTCCAAAGATGTTATCTTAAAGTTCTAAAATGTCTAATAATAGTGAATAAAAATGTATCATTATTATTAAAATCTTACGGTATTAGAAGTATAGGTAATCTTCCTCACTAGTTTTTAAAGTTTCAGAAATTTTATTTTTTATAGTGTTAAAAATTTTTAAATGAGGGTTTTTGTGCTGAAATATGAAATAATTTTTAAAGTAAATGTATATGAATGTGTTTGTATATGTATGCCTGTAAGTGTGGATTGAGACGCTGGGGAAGAGAGAAGTAATAAATCAGAAACAAGCATTTTCTTCTCAATCTTGGCATTTAATATCAAGTCTAACCTTAAAAATAGCTTGACATAGCATAATTTAGTTTTTATAAACCTCAAACATTTGAAAAGAGTTACATTGTTTGACACTTTGAAAAGTGTGGCTGAGCATTGCTTGAGCACTTCATAAATAGAGCTGCAAATCTCAGTTTGCTACATAGAGAGGGATAACATAGTGTATGAACATATGATCTTTGTGGGATATGAAATTGAATACAGGTCTTAGAACATGAAAACTTTTACCTATTGTTGTAGTGCCACCATGAAAACTAACTCTTGATTTTTTATAAACATGTCAATGTGTCATTTCCTATCTCCCAAATCTTTGTTTTCTGTATTAATCAAATAATACTTTATTGAACACATGTACAGAAGACTTAAACAATTATTAAGACTAGCAATGTAGAACTGAAATCCTGCTCAATTATTCTCCTTTCCACTTTACTTTTTAAAATTTTTTCTTATAAGGAGGTGCTTTTTATTTTATCTTGCAGAGGGCTAGGGACTGTGGAAAGAAGCTGAGTGAGGTGTGACTTGGAGCTTACCATCTAGTTGTGGGAATAGACATAGAAACACAGAGCAGAGTGCACCAGTAGTAAGCAGGGATACAAGCAGTGGAAGTACATAAAAATGAACCTTCAGTGCTACAGAACCTTCAATATGCAGCCTAGGAAGACCCCCTTCAGCCCATCTTCTGAATGTGTTTACCGAAAGAATATATCTCCTCATATATTGCTTCACGTTCAGTGGAATTCTGTAGCATGGCCCTTGACCATATAGAAACTGGACTTCTTTTCCTCCTCCTTTCCTTCCTTCTTTCCTTTCTTCCTGTTACTTTAAAAAATATTCTGTTCCCTGGGCACGGTGGCTCATGCCTGTAATCCCCGCACTTCGGGAGGTCAGGAGTGTGAGTGGTGAAACTCTGTCTCTACTAAAAATAGAAAAATTAGCTAGGCATGGTGGCTCATGCCTGTAATCCCAGCTACTTGGAGGCTGAGGCGGGTAAATCACTTGAACCCGGGAGGTGGAGGTTGCAGTGAGCAGAGATTGTGCTATTGCAGTCCATCCTTGGCAACAGAGAGAGACTCTGTCTCAAAAAAAAAAAAAAAAAAAAAGTCCGGTTCTCAACTGTCCCTTATTCTCCTTCTGTGTTGCCTCACTGAAAACTTTTGAGGAAGAACATTTTTGTGGAGAGGATTTTTCAGGGATTGTTCTCATTTCCATGAGTTGAACCAGGAACAGAAACTGTGACAGATAGAACATAATTATAGAATAGCTTGTTAAAAATGAGACCGGCCTATCTCAATTCTTTCATATGTGTCATTTAGGAAAAAAAGTGAAGTAAAACTGTGTAACACACTACACTGTATCCTATAAATATGTACAATTATTGTAAGTCAAAAATGATAATAAAACTGTAAGCAGTGTGAACGCCAACCATATATGATTTGAGGATTGTAGTAGGATTTTTATTTTGCTTTATACTGATTTATATTTAGCTAAACTTGCAAAGGGAAGCTAAAGGATTATCTAGGATCAAACATTTGAATCTAGAAAGACTCATGAGACACTGTGAGACCAGTTTGAAGGCATGAACTGTGTGCATCATAGGAATTTTTTATTCCTCACATTTTTGAATGAATGAATGAATAAATTAGGTCAGGTTAAATACTAAACCTCCAAGTGAAACAGCATGATGGCCGCTACATTTGCTTCTCATACTATGGGGACACAGAGCTATTTTTGTGCTTCTGTCACTCATAATCATTTAGTAGCCTCTTGAGGGAAGATATTATACAATACTTATGTATGTACGTATGTATGCATGTGTTGAGACAGAGTATTGCTCTGTCGCCCTGGCTGGAAGTGCCATGGTGTGCTCTCAGCTCACTGCAACCTCCACTTCGCAGGTTCAAGTGATTCTCCTGCCTTAGCCCCCAGAGTAGCTGGGATTACAGATGTGCACCACCATGCCTGACTATTCTTCATATTTTTTATTAGAGACAGGTTTCAGGTTGGCCAGGCTGGTCTCCGACTCCTGACGTCAAGCGATCTGCCCACCTCAGCCTCCCAGGTGCTGGGATTGCAGGCATGCAGCACTGCACCTGGCCAATACGTATTTTTAAATCCCACAGGTACCCTCTGTTTTCATTCATTCAGCAAACTGTGTGTCACATTCTGTTTAGGTACTGGGATTATTAAATTGTTAAAGCGTTCTCAGTCTAAAAATAGAAGGAAGGAGTTGTAATTTACTCCTTTCTTCTAGTTAGTCTGGCAGTGGGTTTAAGTGTAGTCAAAACTTGTAGCTTCCCTGTCAGGGAAGTCTTACAGAGAAAGGGGGTGATTACAGCGACTTTCTGTCTATTTTGCTTTGACAAATAGAGAGAAGGAAGTTTTGGGAAATGTATAGCGTGAGAAGTCCTCATAAATTTACATTTCAAAAGTCTTTTATTCTGTTATTTTCAGTTTAATTTTATTGCTTTCATAGCGTTTTCATTTCAGATACCTAAAATTCTATCTATAGTTGAGAGGAAAATTGCCGTTTAAAGATTGATCTCTGAACCTAATTTCCAAACCACCATTATTTCAGTCTTTATATGGAAATTAGAGATTGCATTTATTTCTTTTATAACCCATTGTATTTATTTAGGGACTATATAAAAACTTCCTCAGAAAGCATTAAGGCCGATACATCTTCAATAAAATATAACTTCTAAGCAGAGTTTTAAACACGTTTCATCAAACAACTGTAACTTCATTTTGAAAAAATTTAGGGGAAAAAAAAACTTATCTAGGTCATTTATTGTACCACTAAATGCTATATTTTTATGCAAAATAAAGTTGACAGTAAATTTGGCCCAGCTGGCACCCATCAAGACTCAGATTACTAAATGATTTAACATGTATATGTCTATATTTATACAGAGTATTAATATATTATTCAATAAACATTAGGATACAATGAAGGTTCATTCTTTTGCATTTCTTATAAGAATATTCTAAAATGGAAAACAATTTTCCATCACTAATGCCATTGCCATATTTCAGTTATATATAGGAAGAGTCATAACTTACCTGACAACCGGCATTGTCTCCTCTTGCTCCAAATAAGAAGCAGAAGTTACCATGACTCTATTTGGCATCTTTTGGTGCTAGGATAATATTTAAAACAAGTGGATTAATTTCTTAACAATGTCAAGTATAATTGTAACATTAATTTCTTAAAGGCAAGTTACTTAATATTCCAGAGGGTGATTGATGAACCCACAATCATTTAAAAATTGTAAATAGGATGCCACCTTTTGTGGTCAGTAATTTTTATTACTATAATTGTATCTAAAATATTAAATAGTAGACCATATCACTATCATTGTACCTATATATTCAAATAATTAATAATGAAAATATTTATGTTGCCTGCTACCTTAAATTTTTTTCAATAAATGAAGTTTTTTTTACCCTCAAATAATCGAGTTATTATGTTTCTCTTTTCAGTGATTCTAGAAGTGGGATTTAATTTTTATATGAATAAAGCTGTTATTTTATTCTTAGAATGAGTAGGATTTAAATTATTCCCACTAAACCTTCTATTTGATAGCCTAAAATTCAGATTAAATTGCATTTGTATGGTTTAATATGTAACAGATGGTTTCTTTGCTAGTATATATAA